GAGAGAGAGAGAGAGAGAGAGAGAGAGAGAGAGAGAGAGAGAGAGAGAGAGAGAGGCTTCGGGTTCGGCTGATGAATGATGGAGCCTCGGCAGAGGGGTGGCTGAGGAAGAGGAGTGGGCAGGGTCAGGAGCTCTTGATCGCGGGGATGACCGGGTGATGCGAAAGACTGCTATCCTCAGACAATAGTCGCAACTTAGACATGCTGGGGCTGAAAATGGGGGGAGAGAGAGAGAGAGAGAGAGAGAGAGAGAGAGAGAGAGAGAGAGAGAGAGAGAGAGAGAGAAGCTTGGGGTTCGACTATTGAAGGAGCGATGGCAGCGGGGTGGCTGAGGAAGAGGAGTGGGCAGGGTCAGGAGCTGATTGCGGGGATGACCGGGTGATGCGAAAGACTGCTATCCTCAGACACTAGTCATCATTTATACAAATGCGGGCCGAAAATGGGGAGAGAGAGAGAGAGAGAGAGAGAGAGAGAGAGAGAGAGAGAGAGAGAGAGAGAGAGAGAGAGAGAGAGAGAGAGAGAGAGAGATGGGGTTTGGGCTGATGGAGCGGTGAGAGGGGGAGAGCTGAGGAAGTGGAGTGGGCGGGGTCAGGAGCTCGCTGATCGTGGGGATGACCGGGTGATGCAAAAGACTTCTATCCACGGACTCTAGTCATCACTCAGATAGATACGGGAGGGGAAATAGGTAGGGAGTTTGTGTGTGTGTGTGTGTGTGTGAGAGAGAGAGAGAGAGATTGAGAGCCGGGGGGATGGCGGAGAATGGGAAGTCTGCGGCTCCGTGATAGATGGTCGTAATGGACGACCTAGTGATGCGGAAAAGCTTCTATCCGATGGACAAGACTAAGCACTTCGGTAAATGGACGGGTGGAGAGAGAGAGAGAGAGAGAGAGAGAGAGAGAGAGAGAGAGAGAGAGAGAGAGAGAGAGAGAGAGAGAGATGCCCTTCAGTTTCAGCAACGAAAGGACAAAGCGTGTGCGTGTGCGTGTGCTTGTGTTCGTGTGTATTTTCAAGCGACAAACGTGGTCAGACACATATATACGGATGCAGACACATGCACTACAGCAAAAGGATATTGGGGGCAGGGGGGGAGAGAGATGAGTGGCTATCAAAGACAATAGGAATGTGGTGAATGAAGGAGACACGATGAAACAAGGCCATGGAGGTGGAATGAAAAGGAGTCGTGTACCGACGGGCCTAGCTCAGTTGCTACACTCATGGACTGTTTGAAGCTCAGACCTGTGTTCGATTTCGAATGGAACGAAGTGAATGAAAATTCTAAAGTACCTGGGGCTGGACAGTTCCACCAAAAAAAGAAAAAAAAACATCTGTGTTAGCGTTCAGGAAGAGTGATTTGCGTGTGTGTTGTCATTTGCGCTAAACCCAATTCCACAATGAAAGCATGACTCGGTGTGTGTGTGTGTCTCACACACACACACACACACACACACACACAGAGAGAGAGAGAGAGAGAGAGAGAGAGAGAGAGAGAGAGAGAGAGAGAGAGAGAGAGAGAGANAGAGAGAGAGAGAGAGAGAGAGAGAGAGAGAGAGAGAGAGAGAGAGAGAGAGAGAGAGAGAGAGAGAGAGAGAGAGGATTCTGATTGTGCATGGTCGTGGTTGTTTGGTGTGAATACAGGCGGAAACCGAGCGTGAAGTGGGAACAAACAAGGGTGTCTCTGATAAGCAGATCCGGCTAAAGATATACTCTCCTCATGTTTTGAACATAACGTTGGTAGATTTGCCTGGGATCACCAAGGTTCCGGTTGGTGACCAACCTAGCGATATAGAGGCGAGAATCCGGACTATGATCTTGTCCTACATCAAACATGAGACTTGCATTATTCTTGCCGTTTCACCGGCTAATGCCGATCTCTCAGTCTCAGACGCTCTTCAGATGGCACGAATTGCAGACCCTGACGGTAAGTAGGAAAAAGGCCCCTGGCTGCGTTTGTTGTCCTCCTGTCCTCTCTTGCTGGGTTTGAAACGGAACTCCAGTGGTTGCCTGCATGTAGTACTCCCAGTTTTTTAAGTGCCCATTGTCCAGCCAAGATAGAAAACGCAGGAATTGCTTGTACGTGGTAACAAATGCGATACCCCTTTTAAAAAAAAAAAAAAAAAAAAAAAAAAAAAAAGCGATACCCCACCAGAGTACGTCCCAGCCTCTTTTTCCCGAGGCGGAGTCGCCGAGGTTTGGGAAAACGCCAGTGTGGAACTTCTTTTCTTTTGGCTCTCGCCGCTACGGTATCCATTTTTTGTTCCGGCAGCGTCGAGCCTGCGCGATTCTTAGATTGGCTCGTTTTCGATTCTCAAGTTTGCGAAGGGTCTGGTGGGTTAATAAGGAGACCAGGAAGGAGATTATAATATGAACGAGAACGTCAAAAAAAAAAAAAAAAAAAAAAAAAAAAAAAAAAAAAAAAAAAAAAAAAAAAAAAAAAACAAACCAGAGAGCGTAGCAGTCAAAGAATGTCAATTTCAACCAGGGCGAATGTCGGAATTTCAACCAGGGCAAATGTCGGAAGCAAAGAATGTCAGTAGTATTTGTCTTATTAAACTCGTATTATTTTGTTTGAATAGTTTGATTGTCTTTCATTTCTGTCTCGTTGCTCGTTTTTCTTACCCCCTCTCCTTTTTTGTCCTCCCCCTTTCAGCCTCCTTCTCTTCCCCCCCCCCCCCCCACCCCCCCCAAAAAAGAAGAAGAAGCGACACTGCTTTTTTTTTCTCACTGCCAGATCGAAATCACGACGTAATTGTCTTTTTTCTCTAACCCTTCATTGCGGTGAAGTTTTTTTTTTACGTTTTGAATGGTTGTAATACGTATTTTTTGTGCTTTCTATGCTTTCAAAAAGCGTCCACAGAAGGAATGAGCAAATATGACAACGACAGTATGAACATGATCTGAGCTCGATGTACGGCAATTGAACGTGGTTTCTCAAGCACCACGTTCCTTTCTTCACAGGGATTGGCCCTCCTGGGAATAGGGGAGGGGAGGGTAATCCAGGCCCAACAGTTGGGTCCGTCCCGTGTACAGAGTTGTTGTCCAGAACAACCTGGAAACGACATCAAAGTAAGGGTGCCCCACGGGCCAGACATTTGGGTATTTGGCTGGCTACCTAGTTGGCTGTTGTACTGGAACAGTGGAACCAGGCCTTCAGCACAAGTATTTGGTGCTGTATGCCAGGAAGAAGTATAGGGTTCTAGCTTCAGGCTGTGTTGCTGTTGACGATACCCAACCGTTTATTTATTCATGTAGTTCTTCATCTCATCTGTTCGTCACTGAGAGTGAATCCATGGGGGAGTGTGTGTTTGCCTGATGCATGTTTGCGTGACCTCCTCTCGCGTTGGCATAGCCAGGTAATTCAGAGCGAGGGCCAGTTTCCTAATAATAATATTCGGCATGCTCCAGTTGGGAGTCCATGTTCAGGTGGTAAACAGAAAGTTAGTGTCCAACAGACAAGTTATAATTTGTAACTGTATTGTGAGATAGTGCCTCCATTGTCGGCGTGTCGTCAAGTTTGTGGTTCAGGTATGAAAGCAGACGGTTATTCAAATGCAAGACGGTTATCGAAGTACAAGACTGCAGTTTTTTGGGATGTAGAGGAGATGTGGTCCTACAGAGTCGTCTGCACGTTGGTGGGGATGTGGCACCCGCAGGGACTCTGGGGTTGTGACACCAGGAGGGAGTCTGGATCGAGGAGTTTTGGCTCAGCGAGGTCCTGATATGCACATCTAAGATGTAATGTAGGCCCTTCTGTGGGATGTTGTGTGATGAAACCCAGCCAACGCACATGCAAAAGTTGATGGAATTTTTGAAATGAAAATGAGTGCGTATCAATAATTGAAGGGCAATTCAATCATAATCTTTCGAGTCCTTCTTGGTGTTTTCTTTCTTTCTTCCAGCTTTCTTGCTGTCTATTTCTGTGGCGCTTCTTCTCTTTCTGCCGACTCTCTCCAGTCGGCATTTTTGAACCTTCAGGAGTAGACGCTTCCTGGTTGTAATATGCAAAACCTGCATTCTTGCCGTACTGAAAGGATTTGCTGTCTCAGACTCTGAGTCCCAATTCCGCTGCCCAGATTCCCAGTCTTCCATGGACCATACTCCCCACCCGTAGCCCTGACTATACAGTTAGTTTGATACGACTTATAAATTCATCCGTACCAATAGGCCCGCTAGTCTGACAAGCCGGTATGTCATTAGGCCCAGTCAGTCAGTGACCTGTCAGTCCACGTCTCAACTGCAACAGAGTCCGCTGACTTGGGGAAGCATCGAAGATTAGCCCCAGCCGGCAACTGGGAACAACAGGAAAAAACAAAAGTCCAGAGGCAGCCAAGCGACAGCACAATTTGCAGTTGAGCCTGTTGCAGAATTGCTGTTACAGTTTTCTGCAGTCAAGGGTCGAGTGAGGCTGAGAGGCAGTCTAGTAGTGAAGTCAACGGCCCCGGTGGGCCCCATTGCTGGGGAGAGAGAGAGAGAGAGAGAGAGAGAGAGAGAGAGAGAGAGAGAGAGAGAGAGAGAGAGAGAGAGACACGAGCGTGATAGTAGATAGGACCTTAGTGAGAGAGAGAGAGTTCCGTTGTGGTGTGTGGTGGCCATAGCTGCCAGTATACATACATGAGACTTTTGGTATAGGACTCTGAATTTTCAAACAAGTGTTCTCATATCATGTTGATTTACATCTCCTGTCTGGATCCTTGCGTGATGGAGTATGGACTTGTGATGTTGCAAGGAGCAGTGTGAATACATGTGAACATTGCAGTACACTCATTTAGGTTGAAAAGTGATCTCGAGCTGATCTCCATTCTCAATGATCTCTATTCTCACTTGCTCTCCCCTTGACCTTTGCATGAAATCGTTTGCCTGGCAGGTTCTCGAACAATTGGAGTGATCACAAAGGTGAGCTCCTTCTTCTGCTACCTCATTTTCTCAGCATTTCCAAACGCGCCTCAGCACTCCCACTTCTCACCCCCCCCCTCCCTCCCTTCATGCAAGATTTAGAGCTGCTTTGACATGTGCTGTCACCCGGGTTCTGTTCTGACTCCTTGGGGTCCTGTTTTGGCTTTTTCGAGCTTGGTCTTTGGGATGTATTGGGAGCGGTTGACCTTGGGCCTTGGGTTCGGATGCGAGTTGCAGAGAACAATCCGAACTGAGGCAATGTTTCAGGATTCGCTCCGCCTTAAAGCCTTGCTTCCTATTGTCATTGCCATTGTAGCACGTGTGTAGCCCATCCCATAAGGGCCATGCGGACTTGATGTCATCCCCACCTGGGTTCGGATGTATTGGAAGTGGGTGACCTTGGGTTCGGATGTATTTTGAAGCGGGCGACCTTGGGCTGGGAAGTATTTTGAAGTGGGTGACCTCCGGGTGCATTTGAATCATTTACGTGCTCTCTTGCTCGAGGCTTTGTAGGAACTGAGTTGCAGCTTGTTGAAACCTGGTCTTAGTGGAGCTCTGGTGAAAGACTGGCTTATGCAGAATCAAGCAGGCAGTCGTTAGTTCTGCCTCCCAAAACTGACGACATCCTGTGCAGACCTGGAAATAAACGAACTGCATATCAGGTAACATCTAGGCAAGTTTTGACATCAACAAGAATAATCCGATGCTGTCAGTCATCGTGTAACACTGACATTTGCTAGTAGAAGGCTACTGGCTTCCCCCGAACATAACGCACCCTGAAAATGAATGTATGCAAGGCATGTTTCCGGCCCGATACAGTCAAAATGAGGGTGCGTTGTGTTCGGGGGAAGACGGTAGTCTGCCAGCTATAGCACAGTGGAACAAACATCGTCCACGCAATAAGAAAGTGGAAATGCATCGGAGAGCCAGTGAATTAACAATAAGACAGTTTTCCGGTTCTCTCAGTTTTCTAGGCACTGGGCTACCCAGGGCGGTGAGGAGGAAGTAAATTGAAAACATAAGAAACATAATGCCAATCAAGAAGAAAGAAAGAGGTAAAGCAAAGGAAGCTGTCTGGGATCCCCCAGCATTCACTTTGAACAGCAAATTGAGAACGAGGGAATAAAAGGGAATGTAGTGCGAGGGTTTACCTCTCGGCTTAAGGCCCTGCAGCAGGCGTGTGGCCGCCCTAAGTGAAGGTGGCCCCCCTGAATCTCAATGTGCCCTGAGTTCGACAATTTTTGCAAATCTTGTTGGGTGCCAGACAGTTGCCACACGCCAGTTGGTTTCATCCGCCTTGCTCGTGAGAATCCGAAATATTTGTGAGCTTTCCAGGCTCTTCCAGCAACGTGGTCGAAGCAGGGAGCACCACACATTTGTGCCTGGGTGGTTGTGCATGACTAACCAATTTTGGCCGAGACTGAAGCTACTGGAAACTCGGCCGCACGCTTTCCATATAGGAAGTGGCCGGGCTCCATGTCGGGGGTTGGACACTTGCGTGCAGATGCGGCAGCGCTGCTGGAGCTAGCGCTAGTGGGCTGCTGCGTTAGTGCATGGGCAAGCGTGCCCACATGTGTGGTCATGCGAGAAGGCAGGGCGCTGCTGAGGGCAGCGCCATAGCCAGCCCCACGTAGCTGGGGCTGGGGTTGGATAGCCAGTGGAGGTGGTGGTGGTCGTCGTGCATGAGGGAGAAGACGTGGGTGATGAAGACGAGGGAGGGAGGGAGGGATATATATATATATATATGTATCTGATTCACAATGTGACAATATATATATATAAAGTTTGCCACAGCCCCTCGTTTGTTGTCCTCTTCTCTCTCTCTGCCTACGGTTTACCGGGCAGTTCTGTTTGTGACTATATATATATATATATCGTCAAATAGAACTGCCCGGTAAATCATAGGCAGAGAGGGAGAAGAGGACAACAAACGAGG